ATAGGTCTTGCTTTATCTTGGTCTTAACCATCCAGCAGGAAAGTATAAAACTGAAGTATAAAAAGTAAAGCCATATTAATATGGTGAGCTGTAAAAGGCTCTAGTCAACAACTTCAGTGGACAACCCACTACTATTGTGGACTGCTGGACTGTGTTGGATTGCTTTGCTGAATTCGAGCACCTATAATATTTAGATGCCAGTAGAATATCCATCTCTGGCAGACTGAACTGGAGAGGGGGGATACAGAAGAAGGACCATTTTGTATTTGTATATACAGAATAGTTAAGATAAATGTACGGCTGCTTTCCCTTGGTTCAGTGAAAGGAAGGATTTGTAGTAGTAGTGTTTGGACAGATGTCCTGGCTGCTTCTTATGCTGTGGATGACCGCTGAGAAGATAACAACGTGTAATATAATTAATTATTGAAAATGTCCAACTAATCAGCTTGGAAAGTGTCTCATTGATATTTGTTTCTCAATAAAATAAAAACACACAAAAAGGGTTGCTAGAAACGAAGGATTAGCTCAGATGACACAGGCGACAAAACAGCCCAAACAGAGGGAATGGCAAAGGCCAAGGCCCTCCGTTGGGGTTGTGTGGGATCTTTACAGAGGTGAACCAGGAGTTAAAGATCAGAATGCTGTAAGCGGCCCCGCAGGGAAGCAGCAGGGCAAATGTAGAACTTTAAAGGTTAGGAAGATTTTAGCTTTTACTCTGATAAAATGTCACTTAGAGGATTTTCTTTTTTATTTTGAGCACAGGAATAACACGACCTGATTTAGTGTAGGTGGGTTGGGACCAAAGTTAGTCACTTCCAGAAGTGGGCACAGACAATGGAATTCATTATATGCAGGGGAAACAGATGATTTGGGGAATGCACCCGACAAAAATGGTTCATTTCTGCCCTTGCATTTGTTGGCGGAACCCTAAGAATTTGCAGGACTCTTCAAGATGAGAAAGAGGACAAGGTGAGAAGTTCACTTTCGGGATCACCTCTGCGCAAGGTAGCACTTTGTAAACCTCTCTATTTGTTTTTAATCTCTGACGAATCAGAACCTTTTAGGATGGTGGCCCTGGAACCAGTATACTTAAAAGTCCTCCCAAAGCTTCTTCCACAGCCTTCGCGACTTGGGCCTCTAATAGGAAAGTAAGGGACGAAGACGAGTGGAAAGACGTTGGGGAAGTACTGTGACGTAGTGAAGCACGCACGCCGACGCCACACTCGGGAGAAGGGAAGCCAGGGGTTGAGCAACTTCGCGAAGGCCACGCCTCTAACAGAAAGGTCCGCCCATTTTCGCTGGGCGGCAGAGCGCGAGTTTCCGGAGGGACCTGATTCCAGGGCGGACCAAACCGGAAGAAGGTCGCGCGCCTTCCGGGCTCCGCGGGCGACCTCGGGCGGGGGCGGGGGCGGAGGCGCGTCCGTTCTGCGCAGGCGCCAATGGGGCTTCGCCGGCGGTACCATGCCGGGGCGGCACGTCGCGCGAGTCCGGGCCCTGTACAGGCGCATTTTGCAGCTACACCGGCTTCTGCCCGTGGATCTCAAAGCCCTGGGAGACCAGTACGTAAAGGACGAATTTAGGAGACACAAGGCCGTTGGTTCTGAGGAGGCCCAGCGTTTCTTGCAGGAATGGGAGGCAAGTGACGCCCCCTTTCTTTTGCTCCGACCTTTGAGGTCCACAGTGGCGTCCCGGCTTGTGTCTTCCAAGATTGCCTACCGTGCCAGTCCCCGCGGACCCCTACCGGCTCGCAGGAAGCGGGGTGTGCGGGGTGTTCGGTTTGAGCTAAAACCAGTGAGCTGTAAGGACCCCTCTGCAGTAGCCTCCCCGCCGCGCCCTCGCGTCCTCCGCCGGCTGCTCGCTGCAGCAGAGGCCCTTCCTTCAGAGTCGCCTGTCTAGTTCAGCTCGGTGACGTCCGGCAGACGCCAGGCGGGGAGAGGAGGGCGGCGCGACACCAGGTTGACCCGCTTCTCGGCCGGTGTGCGGCGTTCGCCAGTGTTTGGGCCGTTTCCATGATTTATTATTCTTCTTCAAATTTCATGTCCTTGGTAGTTTTCTCGCTCGATTAATGCAGAAATCAGGTAACATAAAATGCTGTCTTGGCTGTCACAAGCCAAAAGAAAAAAAAAATGCTGGTTCAAATTAAGCCAGGTGAAGTTTGGTTTCCTTAGGGTCCAAGTGGCTTGACTTTGTTACATCGCCCAGCACTACTGTGCTGTCTTACGGAGACGCGTGATTTAAGGCGTACTCACTTGACTTTTTTTTTTTTTTTTGAGTGGAGGAGAACAGCTGAGTATTTCAGTATTCAGAGTATATCGTGGACCTGAGGGTCATACAGGATTTCTTCTTATAAGTTATGTTAGGGTAAACAGAACGTTTGCAGTGAAATCCAGACTTTGATTGTAGAGTCTGAAGTTTTGAAGAGGACGTGTAGAATAATAGTGAAAGAACTTTGCAAACCTCACATATTCCATGTAATTTGTTTGTCCCAAGCCAGGAAAGTGTATTTTTTTTAAATTCTGGACCACAGAATTGCAAGCTTCTCTTTTCAACTGAGGATTTTTTTTTTTTTTTTTTTTTTTTTTTTTTTGAGGAATCAGGGATTGAACTCAGGCCCTTGCACTTGCCAGGGAAGCACTTACTCTACTGAGCCATCTCCCTGGCCCCCCAAGAGCCTGCTTTTTTTTTTTTTTTTTGAGGAATCAGGGATTGAACTCAGGCCCCTGCTTATTCCACTGAGCCATCTCCCTGGCCCCCTCAACTGAGGATTGAACTTCAGCAACTCTGAGTCACAGCTTCAGCACTTTTTGAGGGAGTGTTTTGCTAACCTTCCTAAGCAGGCATAGAACTTGGATTGTCCTGGGCTTTCATGGGTGTTTTTGCTTCTGAAAAGTGGCTCAGCATCAAAATTTTTCAGGGGTTGAGGTTACTTGTCTTTCCTTCTGGAGTTAGGTTCTAGGTTCTCATCTTGATCAAAGAATTGAACAGAACAAGCAGAAAGCAGTGGCAGAGTTTATTTGAGAAAGTGAAAGTGAAAAGTGATGGAGAAATTGGCTCTGTAGTTAGCTGGCTTGGGTCAAGTAATGAGAAAAAGAGTACAAGCAATGATGAAAGTATACATCATGCAAAGTTACGATAGGAAGGTCTTTATGGCTAATGTGTCTTTTTTGGTTTGAATTTCTACATATGAGTCTTGAGGGGCAGTGCTGGGATTGCATGCCCCAGGCTGTGTCATGCCTGGGCCATCCTGTGGAAGCCTGCTTCTTACCAGAAGTCCATGAGCAGGCCTTTGGGAACTGCTCAGCACATGTATCTGGGATCCTGTAGTTAACAAGTCATGCTATGGGGTTGGGGAGATGGCTTAGTGGAATAAGCGCTTCCCTGGCAAGCACAAGGGCCTGAGTTCAATCCCCAGTTCCACCAAAAAAAAAAAAAAAAAAAAAAAAAAAAAAAAGTCATGCCTCCATACCCTAATCACCTGTCTCATTTACCTCTGAGAGATACAAATCCTCATAAGTCCCTGAGGGTATGGAGATCTCTGTCTTCTGTAGCTATATCAACCCAGAAGGGGCTCTAGATCCTACCTACTGGGGCTTGTGTGCTCTGGGGTGCTATGACTCACTAGGTTGAAGAAAGGAAAACCAAGGAAACAATGAATAAAGAGTCAGTGACCATTGACCCTTATTATTATTAGCCCAAATATAAGGAGCAGGTTGGATCCAGGTTTTCTGTAGCAGGACAGGTACCTTAAATTTTGAAGAGAAATCTCAAGCCTTCCAGAGGCTCACAGGAATAACGTTTTAGAGATAGCTGAGCTTTTTCTTAGGAGACTATCTCTTCTTAGCTAGGAACTTGAGAGTCTGTACAATGTCACAGTTAGATAATTTCTGTGTTGTGCTACTGTGGGGAATTACTCAGACTGTTTCACAGTCCAGGGGCATCTAAAGACACCTGAGGATGTAGTCTCATTTGTATAGAGCAGGTGCACAGTGGGTACAGTTATGTAAATGACGCAAGTGCTGGTTATGGCCCTATACAAGAATGTAAATGTAAGATGACAACCAGTGTAATAGTTATACAATAAAGACTCAAGTGGCTCTTTGGCTCTTTCTCTGGCTCTCTGCTCTGAGATGCCTGCAGTTGTTGCTGATATCTTGCATACTTGTCTTCTTTGACCTTGGGACCTCACCTGCAAAAATCATCCTTGGGCCCCCTAGCAAGTGGACTGACAGGTACAAAGTACAGTAGAATATCATCTACATACTCTCGGATAGTTCTTTGTTTAAACTTTAAGTCCCTTGAGTGTTTTCTAGTGCCCAAGCAAAAAGGTAAGGACTGTCTCTATACCCTTGTGCGAGAGGTCTAAGAATATTGTTGCTTTTCTCTTTTTTTTTCTTTTTTCAAAGTTTTATTGATAAACAGATAGCAATGAGACAGTTTCAAATCAAATCGGAAGTACAGTTTCAACAAATAATACACTGCATATATTCTTAGTGGTTAATTGCTGTACAAGATGCGGACTCGTGATCCTATTTACAAACACCATTAGAACAAATCATTCCATTCATTAAGAGAATGCAACTATCTATCTATCCCAACCACTTTGAATACACAGATACAAAATGGACATTCATAGGTATACCCCATTTTTCCTAAGTTCCGTTATTGAATATTATAGGTGTGTAAACTCAGCAAAATATTCTAAAAGAGTCCAGTAGCCCATAATAGCATTGGGTCTTCTGTTTAACTGGCAATGTCAGAAATTATTGACTTGAGTCCCCCACAGCTCAACATAACAGCATGGCTTTATTTCCTATATTTCGTCTTCATACTTTTCTACTGGATGGTTAAGACCAAGGTAAAGCAGGACCTATGCAACAAGAGTTGTAGCTTTTTGGTCTGAGAAGGTCAGTGAAATCCTCTCAGGATTTATCCTGAGATCCTGTACCTCAGATTGTAGAACCTTTGTGAGTGTCAGCCATGTGGATGAGTCACGGCCATTGCTTGGCCAGTGTGCTCTCTGTGAAAGCCTGAGAGAGTGTCTTCTCCCCATGTGACTCTCCTTAGGCACACTCTACATCATCGATCACTTTCCTCTTTGGCCCCATAATCTTCTTGATCAGAAAATTTGGGACACTACTGAGGTACATGACGTTACAGTACAAGTTCTCATATGTCCTGAGTCTTAATTGACCTTAGAAGGCTAGGGCCAAAATGTTGGCTTTCCTTGTAGCCCTCCTTTTTCTCTAATTTTGGTCTGCAAACTTAGGTTGTTAACCATCCAGAAGAAAAGCTTGTTATTATCAAACGATTTAGGCTATCAAGCTTAACCTCACTATCTCACTGCATTTCAAACATCTTAGGCATAATAAAGAACAGGTATTTTTCATCAAGTATTGATATGTTGAACTTTAAGTCCCTACATAATATGATAAAAAAACATTTAAAAATTAGATTATATTTTAAAAATAGGATAAAGAATTCTATGCTTCTCATGTTTGCACATAAGTCCAAAAATCTCACCATATACAACCTTGATGCTTTTCTCTTGAAATGAGATTTTCACATTCAGAGGCAAACAGCGTTTGGTTGTCTGGAAGTAGGGGGATGGGGAAAAATGTGTTTTTTAAATCTCAGACTGAGAACCAATTAATTTCTCCTGGAACTTGGGAGAGAATTGTACATGGATCTGTTACTAAGGGACAGATTAGGATGACAGCTTTATTAATGAGGTGGGGATCTTACAATATACAGTATTCTAGAGGGCTTACCACAGGGAAAATGGGAGTATTACAAGAGGACTGGCGACTTCAGAAGGTCATATTTAAGGAACTTGTCTGTGAGAGGCTGGACGCCTTTATGTGCCTTTTCCTTAATTGGGTGCTATTTTCAGTTAGAAAACTGGCTGGAGTATTTTTTAGCCTTAACTACTGGCAGAAATATAACTGTAGTAGAATTTGTCCTGTCAGGTTATTGAAAAATGAGTATGTTTTTCTGTTCCATGCAAGGAAAAGCCATTATGCCAGTAAAAAGAATTCTTCCTGTGCTTCAAAATCAGAGACTGTGATGATTGATACACTGTGTCAGTGTGAGAAATTTCAAAGTTTTACTAAGCAACTCAGTAGGGGGTCAGGGTCCTCACTTTGCAAGCAACCCAAGCCTGTGCAAGAGGAGGTCACTGATGGTGTGGGTACTGCGCCCACTCTGGGCTAGGTAGTCTGTATTTAAAAGAGGCTCGCTCTCCTTTGCTTTTGCTGTCTTCTGATGCTCTGAGCTGTTGCCTCTTTTCCACACTACCCTGCTGTGGAGCCAGCTGATTAGGGACTGAAATCTCCACAAAATGAGCTAAGTAAACCTTTCCTTAATTTTGGGTGTCTGGTATTTTTTTTGTCCCAGCAACAAGAGAAAAGTAACTAAGACAGAGGCTTATATCATCAAGCCAGTTAGTAAAAAAGAAAAAGATGGAGGCTGTTGGTGTCAGCCTGTGCCTAGCCAGATGAGTTCACACAGGCTATGTAGCCCATGCGGTATTTTTCTGACACAGTATTCACTTTTATCTTGGTCTATTCTCGTCACTTGGCCCAGCGTTGCTTTGCAGAGTCAG